ATACAAGCAAAATCGTGAAGTCTTATTGCATGGTCTGTACGGTGTATTGTAACTATTATATGGCCCAGCAATATCGTTATGGGGTGTGTTGACGGATGTATGTCATAAAATATATAATAAGTGCAAAAACCTGACGTCATTTACACGTGCAATAAAAAAAAAGACAATAGAGTTAATAAAACGCATTAGGTGTAATAACACGAATTAGGTAACAACAGGTTCAACGTTCATTTGCAAAAAAAAACATATGGGGTTTTATTGTCCTTTTTTATCTTTATTGAACTTTACTTAAGCTTGATAAACATTTGTTCGAGATTGACGTTCTCAAAAAAAAAAAAATCCACAATTATCACCACGGCATTAAGTAAAAATATAATATACAGCTATAACATCATAGTATTATAAAGCCTAGTACTCAGCCACAGTGTGACCACCACAAATCCACATAAATACTTTTTTTTTACAAGTCAATAAACACCGCTCAGCATAATCCTTACGGATAAATAGATAAATTCATATTTCATATTATATAACTGATAAGCAATATGTTTTGTATCACATGGTTGCTGTAGTGGAGCAAATTAAAACATATTTTCACCAGAAAAAATGTAATTTCTTCATTTTGGTCACACTGCAGCAAAAATAGTATGAAGTAAGCAAAAAGGGGCTACTTTTTGCTTACTTCATACTATTTTTCCAGACCTTTGTTTCAAAATTGATAGGTTTTAACTACCAGATAAAAATGTATTAAAGATAAATCAATATAAAGTGTAAGCAAAATAGTAACGCCCTTTTTTTGGGATAAATACAAAAACTATTAATATGAATATGAAAATTTACCAAAAGATAAACAAGTTTGATCATATGAAATCTGTATGTATAATCTATAAGACACTGGACTAGTGACAATATTCCAGTATTGGTGTATGGAATAACTACATTAAGTACTACAGACTAGTACTACGGCTATGGTTTGTATAAATAAGAGAGATAAAAGGGTTTTTTTCAACAAAAAAAAATAATAATAACGGTCTGACAGAAAGGTAATTAACACAAAAAGGCTAGAACCGAAAAATCAGATTTTTTGCAATGATATAAACAAAAGAATGACTAAAGTTATAACAAAAGAAACGGTAGACGATGTCAAAAGAAATTATGAAAATATACAAAAATAAGAATAAATCAAAAGCCGAGAGATAAACAATCAATCTTTTTTTTTTTTGAAGGAAAGACATGGACTTATGAACAGATGATTTTCTGAACGTCTTTGTTTTGGGACTTGATAAATGTCCTTCATTTTCTCATTACCCCGCTTGACTCCATAGTCAATTATACATTGTAACGTTTGGTTTTGAACTCAATTCGAATACTTTATTATAACCTCTTTCACACACAGGCAAAAAAACAAATCGTTTATTGTGACCAGCAATTCTATTAAATTGAATCGTCGATGTAGCCAATTGAAGTATTTGTTAATTTGTTTCAGACCTTCCATTCGTTAGGCTAGACATATTATTTTGAACGGTCGATTTGTGTTAATTTATCAGAACAACGACGTCAAATTGGTTTGTAGTATTTTAGCTCAGATTAAATAAAACCAGACAGTGTACACCATAGTGAGAAACAATAGATTTTCAAATAACGATTTTTGAATTAGAGCCACATTATAGTTCGGAAAATATTGTACACGCCATTTACAATAATAACGTAAACTGATAAGAAATACTGATAGCAAGTAGTTATCAACGATTGCCGTTGGTGATAACATTAAAGATGGCGGATAACATTTCTTTGACCACACTGTAGAACAGAACCTGCCGCCATCTTTGTGGGAATTAGAACCTTATCACATGTTTATAACTGTTATCACTGTTTATAACAATTATTACAAGTTAAGTTGATAGCACACAATCACATCCGGTTTTATTCAATCTTTTATTTTAGCTCATTTTTATTCAAGTGCCGTTTATTTTCTTTAAATATTAGCATAATACAGTCATATTATTTCTTAAGGCGAAAAATAATAAAAATGATAAAAGCCAAGACAAAGGAACCTAATAATATTACAGTAGACAGGTCAATCCCGTGTATATTTATACACTCGGTTCATTATTATGCAGAACGGATAAATGGATTTTTATAACAGCGGTGGTAAACAATTTCGTCGGACGGCTCTAAAATAATGTAAAAAAACAAAAAAAATACTTGCGCAAAAGTTACTTAAGCACTGGAATAACCTAAATTGAATATAGTCTTCTTTATACTTTATAAAGTGAATACAAAATGTAAGTATACATAAACGTTTCATAAAAATATTATTAAAACCTTTTTTCCAAGTACAAGTAAACGAGTGTCTTATCCTTAAAAAATAAACTTTTGGACTTATCCCTTGCCTGGAAATAGGTTACCACACTCAACTTACTTCATTTTGATATTATGTTATTATATCTTTTTGACAAGCTCTTTCTGATGAGCTCAGAATCAACGTTCTTTCTCATGTAGTTTTATAGACAATTACAAAATTAAGCGTTTATAAGATTTGTAATACACACAGACTTTTTTTTCAAATTCAAATCATTTTACCATCGTTAATTTACCTTGTCAATTTTTTATCATTTTTTCCCATTCACAACAAGGTGTTAAAGTTGCTAACATGAAATTTTATTTCTTACTGTACAGATCTAAGTGTGTTCATACATGACTAGGACGCTGTTTATCAAGCTCCTGACTAAGACTTAATTGGTATATTTTTTTCTTCATCTGGCACAGCTAGGACGTTATCATTTGTATAGCTATTATATGTACAAGCTGTGCCCGCAACAACTCTGATAGGCTAGCTTTAATACTATGTTGTAGAATGCAAGTAACAATAAATTTAAAAAAAATACTCGTGTGTGTGCATAGTATTATGTGTTATATAAAGGCCGACAGGTGACGGTTGTCGCTGATTGGATTCCACTCCGGATCGGCGGTGTTCATTATTATTGTATATACAATTTATTTGAATGTATAAAATTTATTTCATACATTTATAATTTTTTCTAATTCCGCAACATGATAGTACTTTAAATTATGAAGAAATAAGAAACGAATTTAAAAGATTGTTAATGTAGACAATACTGTAGATGCAAATGTATTTTAATTAAAGAAAAAAATTAAAATACTAAAATATGAAATAGGTATAAATTAATTTTTTTTTAAATTAATTATAATTCGTCAGTTATATAAATCAATAGTTATAGTTACATTATATACATTTAAATTTGTTTAACTGCGCACATTGCTCGACCACTTTTCCCCTCCTATCCTAACTTTCAAAATCTAATTACTTTAAAATTAATTATTAAAAACTGGTTAACTCGGTGAGATATAAAGGTCCAAATCAGTTCAGTCCAAACCGAGCACAGTGTAAGCCGGCACAGCAAGAAAATATTATACCTAAGTGAGTAAGTAAGGGAGGTCACAGATAAAAATACAATTATCGATAAAAGCATTGCACCTAATGACAATTGTAGGGATAAGTGGATAAAGGTGTTAACTGACAATTGCAATGCTGTTCGCCTATAACTGTACCTATTCACTGTAAACCTAACCTAACCTAACCTAGCATAACTGTTCAGGAGGCAACATTTTAGTCAATATGTTCTATTCAAATGTTTGGAACTGCTTTCATTTGTTTACATTCAATTATTAAAATATTTTGCTGGATTGTGTAACATTTTCCTAACAATTACATTCATTCAATGTTTTTTATAACTATTCAAACTAAAAACTATTTTACAAAAAATTACAGTTAACACATTTATCCACTCACCCCTTCGATTATTATGTGCTTAAGACTGATTTTTTACTATTAGGGTTGATGGTCTGTCTAAAAAAATATATTGACATAGTTACCCACATAAAGTACTTGACAATATAATACAAATAATTGTATTGCCTGTTGACATGTTTTGATTCACTCACACATAGCAACTTGGAAATTGACTACGGTCAAAAAGGTACTTAACCTTTCTTTTTGGGGCGTTTTTCTCTATTTTTTTAGGGGAAGGGTTGAATTTTTTTAAAATTTTTGACCCAATAAAGTACCTTTCAGGTACGATTTCTGGTCTACAAGATTGCTACACAGAAGAAATCAGTTAAGTGGCTTAGATGATACAAACACAAAAATAAATAAAAACACCTTCTCAGCTCAGCATGGAAGCCATAAAAAAAAAAATAAGTAGGTTATGTATGTAAATAATTAAACATAATATTATGTGTGTTTTTAATTATAAGCCTAGTAACGATTAATTATAAGTTTCATTGTGGATAAAATATTATGATAATGTAATGTGATGAAAAAAATGTTTTTTTTTATTATACAAATGTATTTAGTTGACCAATTTTTTTATACCGCTTTTAAAGTTCAGCCTAAAACATTTAAACTTATTTGAAAATAACTATACTCGCTTGTTAGGGCAAAATGATGAAAATTTGGAAATTCGGCATTCCTAAAATGTGTTTGCAAATTCAAACGTTTGTTTTTGAACTCCAATTGTGGTTTGCGAAATACTTGCGTTGAAAAAAAACCGCTATAATACTTTCTACAGTTTTTTTATTATTAAATTTTTTGTAAATTGGTAATAATAGCAAATCGCTTGCAATGCAAAGAATTATATTATGAATCATTGCGTGAAAGTAGGTTAGCTTTATTTTATTATTAATATTAGATTCAGATTCGGGTTCACATGACTGGATGTTTTGTTAAAATGCGGTTGTGCGTTAACTCGGTATGGATGTTTGGCTAAAAAAATATGCCAACGATGCGGTGAAAAAAAAATTAAACTATGATGTCATAATTTTGGTATAGTTTTATTAGTACATACCTATAACAATTTTTTTAAAAAAATCCCAATATTACAAAAAATTTGTTTGTTCATTGTGTTTTGCTCGAAATATATTATTATTAAAACATGGAAAACAAATATTAATTCTGTTGTGTGTGTGTTTGTTTGCAGGACATCAGGCGCAGCGATGGCAACAGAAGAGATCACAGTCAACCATTATGATCCATACAGGGAAATGGAAACCTATCTGGAAAAAGTGGCTGTGAGTATGAATTTCCAAATTATTTTGTATACAATTACTCGTGCAGTATATATGTATACAATATACTCTAGGAGATACTTAAGGCTATTTTTTTTAAACTTGTTGTATTTTCTACCTACACATCTACTTCGTTAAGACAATTTTTTTTGAATTTATCAAAAATTCAAGAATATTACAGGTTTTACCATTATACCCGTTGAACACTTGTCTAACATGCAATTATAGTTGCCTACTAGGAATAGTAAAAAAAGGTGACGTTTTTATGTGTATAAAAAGTTGACTATCTGCTTATTGTACGGCGCGTCGCACTTTTATGTTTTATAAACAAAATTAGCCGACCCATTTTGGGTATCTAATTTTACCAAAAAAAGTTATGTACGTTTAAGTATGTTTTTATTAAACAGTTGTAAAAGAAAAATATTTTGCGAAGAGGACTATTAAATAAACTCAAAACACATATTATGAATAATGTTTTCACGCCAGAAAGGTTTAATATTGTGGTATGGTGATAAAAAAAAACAATTAAAATAAAAATATACAAATAATAAACCATTTGTTTCTGGCTTTGCTTGATGCAAGTTCTCATCGAGATCGTTATTGTAGAAATGAATACATTTATTTTAATCAATTCAAGTCTGATTGGATGTCAGTTTTAAAGTTTACCAAAACTTTAAATCGACGAAAACACTTGTCCAGTATAATGGTACAAATCTGTGACGGCCACAGAACAATGTATTAATGAAATAAAAAAAATAAACAAACAATATATAGACATCTCAAATCAATATTGCAACCGCACAAGTGATAAATTGATCGAGGAAAACTATTAGCTTGTATTATAAATATCGTGATTAACTGTAGTCATATTAATCATGTTGGAAATACAATTATTGAAAATCCAGTAAAAAATAATTTGATTGCGCAACAAACAGCGTAACTGGTATAATTTTATTTCGTAAAGCGTTTTCAACAATAGCATAATGTAATAGTAATTATGTATAATAATATAATAGCTGTAAGCACTGTAAGCACATGTGGACAATGTGTAAATAAATAAGAAAACCGTTCAGGAACAAGCGACAATTCCATAGCTGTTGTGCTTTTAAGGAATATTTATTTTTTATTTCTTTATTCTGCCGTGCACTTTCTAAGTGGGTACTTCACAGAGCAACCACAATGAACAATGACTGATGTGTTCGAAACCGTAAAGTAATAACTAAATAGAATAACTATGCTGATAAAAATGATATAAATGGCCGGCTCTTTTAATATGGGTTCTTACTGTGGAAGGAGTACACGTTTTCAAATGTTCAAATCACTAAACTCAATATGATATGCCCACAGTACGGCATTGTTTATGAAATATACCCTTTGTGTCGCCATTTTGTGAATAGTTATTAGTATTGTCTTTTTTGACAAGGATATGTCTTATGGAGGTGAATTAATAAAGATAGTGGACTAGAAAACCTAAATTGCAAGACATATCCATTGATGTACCTATCTGTATGAAGTGTGGATGCTCTTAAGACTTTTTTCCATGATAGTTATTGATTTTTTTCCACGACTTATCAAATATACGGCTGTGTTATCATGAAAAAGAAACGTGGCAATTTTACTTTCCATGAAAATTGTGTACACAACATGGCTGCAGATAACATTATGACTTACTTTTCAAACACACTTGCCTTGTATGAAAGCGTGTATTGTTCCAGTATGAATGTAAATGTTTTATTGGCTATGTAAAAATATTTATTTAAAAATAAACCGTTTCTTTAACAGTGTAATAATATTATATATCTATACCCGTATTGTGACTGTTTAAAAGTAAAGTCTAACTAAAGACATCAGCTACACAAAGTAAAGATGACAGAGAGATAAATTGATATTTGCATCGTTCAAATTGTAGGTACATGTAATATTGTATTTCTTACACGGGTTTATATTTAAGATAAGCACAACTTTAAACGGTCTTTGCACTCCTCGTCAAATAATATTATATTCAAAAGTTGTATTTTGTTCGGAGAAAATTATTGCGTTGCAAAATTTGTCTTGGATTATACGCGGAACAAGAATGTTGTTTAAACAGAGCTTGCAAATTACTAAGAACGTTTAATTATATTTAACTGAATCTCAAACAAAACAAGAAACTCTTCTTATGTATTCTCACTGTGTGACAAACATAAAGAAGGATAAATTATTATATTTTATGCTAGGTGATTAAAAACAAGCGTTCTGTCACTTTGGACATAATAAGCAACGCGCTATTTTTATCACAATGGAGTAAAATATAAACAGATTAAAAAACAAGTGTGATCACTTCATCGCTTCTTTTGTTGGCAATTAATCTCGCGACAACAGGTAAATTGTGGTTGTAAAACAGATGGTTTTGTAATTTAAAAAAATAACATATACAATATGTATTTTAATTAATTGACAACTAATTAGATAATGCCGATAGAACGGCAATGAATATTTTTACCGCATATTATATGTTATTATCTATTTTATGACTGGCACAACATAATATTAAACGTACAATAAATCTACACAGCGAACAAAAGAAGGTACGCCATATATATATATATATATATATATATATATATATATATATATATAGATTTATAGCGTTGAAAACCGTTTAATTGCTATTTACTGTACAAAACGGTCGTTTGAAAAGAAATAAAACGATATTAATAATTGCAGTTGCATATTATTTTACATAGTGCAATATAACTTACAATATTATAATACTTGATTGGATTTGTGTAATTTCGATACCATCGATTGAAGTTGATATGAATGGCCGTGCCCTTTTATTGGGCCTATATTGTACCTGCATAGCTATTATTATTAAGGAGATAAGTGAAGACATTACCAGAATTATGGAGATGAGAAGCTACTGTTTTTATAGACAGTTAGTTTAAGTCTTTAGATCAGAAGTCATACCCAAATGGTAGGTAGTTTATTGAACCAAGCCGCAGAATGGTTGGGAACTTTTTCTTTTTTTAACTCTTTCAAGCGTTGTCTCGGTTAGGTTAGGTTAGGTTAACAAACTTTAACGTTACTAAGGAGAAGCCCCCTCCCCCCAATAAAAAGTAGGTAAATCACACTTTTACAGCTGTAATATTGTATCATATATTTACCACAGTCCTTGACAGTTGGCGGTTAGTGTTATCACATTTTTAACCGTGTAAACAGGAAATTTTTATCGCTAATATTTAATATTTGTAGCTCGCAATGCGCGTAGAAACACCGGATATGATTATACTGTTTATTATATTCACAACATTTTAGAGCATATTGTAATAAGCTCTAGGTTTGAATTTTTTTACTAGGGTTCTTTAATAGACAAATTTTCAAATTTAATTACACTTTAATTACAAGCAACTGAATTTTCTCAACTGATAAGTGGTTTCCTACACAACCCAGTAAAATAGTCAGAAAACTCGAATCTCTTGACAATATTGTAATCTAATCATTCTAAGTAGCTCAGTAAGTTTGTCAGGCTTTTAGGTGTAAAATAAACCAAAACGACATTCACTTATGGAAAAAATTGTATAAATTGTTAAAATAAACCTTAAACCTTTCACAACTTAACCGGAAATCTAATTGACACCACTTTTTCTCTTTTTTTTTTTAACACTGCTTAAATAAAACTCCTTAAAAAACCGCCTACTTCCAATTCCTTTGAGAGGTTTCCACTGAGCCCTTTTCTAAGGAGTAAATTAGAGGCAATTAAATCTTAATTTAGAGTTTGAACTATACCTTATTGATTGGCATTGAACATAGTGTACTTTAAACGGGTGAAACTAAACCATAATTACACGTTACAAAAAAAATAGAAAGAAAAGAAAAGATCAATTGTACAAGAAAGATAGAAACAGTGAGAAAGAGTGTGTACAACAATACCGTTTTACATAATTCAAACAACAACTGGGTCGCGCCTGAGGCCGTCGTTAATCTTCTTCAGAAGTCCATTATACCGTGTACCTGGTTCGGAAACTCCATTATACATTGGTAATGGAATTTTCTACACTGGAGAGTAATCAGACCTTTTTCCAGACTTTTCGATTTCCTGGTGATGGTTTTGGAGGTACCTATAATACATAATTTTTGTTAAAAAAAAATAATAATAATAAAACCGGTAAATGTGCCAATTGTGTGACAAGGCCGGACTTTACTATATATTTTATAGATATATATATATATACACACTGAAGGCACGTAGGCCTTACCGTAGGTATAATATACGGACACGGCGACAGCTATAACCGATATGGTCATACGACTTCCCACTATGCGAAACCAGCACCGCCGGCACCACAGCAGTTACCAAACTAGCATCGGCAGTCGAATAACCGAACCCGCCTGTGTTGTACTACCGACGTTATTTCCAAAAAAAAATTTGCGGTTTAAGTTTGCCCAAGTACGGTCGAGACCCTCGTGTGTGTGATCCGATTTCGAGACTTGGGTTCATAGAAATGCCCCGAAGGAGCTGTTGTAGATGATACTACATTTTAGCACCTCCTGCGTTTGATTAGATTGAGTATAATAATATTATTATAGTAATAATTGCAGTGATAATCCGTACTTCTCTTAGTGTTTCCAACCCGTCCGGACGACACTGAACGCCGCCACCGTCGTTGGTGTACTTGTGTGCAAAAGCTATTGTATAAAAGTTTAAGCAAATTTTTCATAAAAGTTCTCCTAATCTTTCTGCGTACAGGAGGAGCTCGATGAAGTGTTCGACCAGTGGCCCGGAAGCAAGCCGGAACCGCCCGGGAAACTCACGGCCAACAACTGGCCTCCGGGGCAAAGCGATAATGCCAAAGACACTTGTTGTTACCCGGACAAGCACCGTTACTCGGCAAACGATTTCCGGGGTGGTTTCGACGACGTCATCCTAGAACTACAGATACCCGAACGGATCATTTGCCAAGCATGCGCCCAAGTGACGACAAGTTAGTATCACCCGTTGCTGTTTATAACTTATACTATTATGTACTGTGAGTTTAAGATAATCACACACACCGCCTTAACCTTTCACTGCATGCATTTTTTTTTTTTATAAAAAAAAATTAGGAACGATTAATATCATAATAAAAAAATATATAATATATTATGCCATTTTTATGTGTTTACTGCACTCTATTGATAAAACTCGTTTTGAAAATCGATAGTTCAGTTATTTTCCCTGCAGATAGCGATCTAACAAAATCTAACCTAACCTAACCTAACCTAACCTAACCTAACCTCACCAAACCTAACCTTATCTAACCTAACCAAACCTAACCACAATCAATAATATCAATATAAATAACCTAATGCATACATGCGCTTACATGCACTAAAGGGTTAAGCCATCCTCCTTTGATATTGTCCTTGATCAGTATACAGTTTCTGCTACCGCTTCTTCTGTTTTGTTCAACTTTATCACAGTCTACACAACCTTATCTCTTTGGGACTTTTTAATTAAAGTTAGCATAGCTGTGTGTGTGTGTGGATTCTAATTTACAATAATTATTACTGTTTCGACATCATCATAACAATACTGTTTTCGGCTTTTAGACGGTGACGTCAATTCCGGAGACAGCTGTGGCCGCTATTCGAATACCATGCGATACCGTTTGTCGCCTACCAAGCGGAAACGATCAAGATCCAGATCATCGGATCGAGGTAAAATCCATCAGCTGCCCGGCTGTTACGATGACAGGTCGGCCGTACTGCTCAAAGTCAAAGTTTTGGACACACCGCCGGCACCGGTTCGCAGTTCGTCTCTCAACCGTTTCCAAACCATCATAGCCCAACAGCGCAAACAAGTAAGTAGTTGTTACCTCCAACCAAGTTGCCCCGTTACAACTTCTTGTGTTCATCGCACACAGTTGGAGCGCCAAAACAGCGACGGGGCTCAGCTGGAAGCGGCCACGCAGACTTCACCGACTTGCAGCAGGTCGTCTAGTTTCACTTGGCTCTCCGACGACCGTTCTGGCAATTGCTCCTCGGCCGAGGAGGAAGCCAGGACCCCTTGCAGTTCCACCGATGACTCCGCGGCCGATCAACCCATCAGTTGCGGGTCTTCCACCGGTTCGTCGTCGGTCACTCCGCCGGGCAGATCCGACGAACCCGAATCCGGCATAGGAACGGCATCGCCACCACACCACCGTTACTCAAAATGTAAGTATGCACAATTATCCAGCCGTGGTAGACGATAGGATTCGGAATTCCCACCGAAAACTCCTGAATTTCCCAATTAAATTTGTTTTCGTTTTTTTATATAATAAACTAGATTGATAGAAATGTACTTGCCGCCAATTGAGATAATTGAAGTTACCATCTTTGTGGGAATAACAACCTCGTCACATGTTTGTAACTGTTATCACTGTTTATAACAATTACAAGTCAAGTTGATAACACACAATCACACAAAAATGGCGGACGTCGTCTTCCATTCTTATCACCAGCTAGCAATCTAGTTTAACCACATCTGGTGTTGTATTTAATCTGTCACGTTAGCTCATTTTTATTACACGTAACAGTTTTATTAATTCTTAAGACGAAAAATAATAATAATGATAAAAGCCAAGACGAACCTTGTGGGAATAATTAGAACCTTATCACATGATCATCTGTTTGTAACAATATTACAAGTCAAGTTGATAACACACAAATGCACAAAAATGGCGGACGTCGACTTCCGTTCTTATCATTAAACTAGCAATCTAGTTTATTATGTTTATCTGTGGGATAGATACTCAATTTTGTGTTTTTTTTTTATCAGAACCGCGTTACTATTTACTAAAACTAAAATTTGAGGTACATAGAATCTAGTTTTGTTCTGAAAATAGTTGCTTAAATACTATGTCGTCTTACTACTAATGAATTACAACACTTATAAAAGCATAACTAATACAATAAGTGCACTTTAATATTGTTTAATTAACTACCGGCTAGGAAAATAATCTAACAAAACTGATAATTACACATCACGGTTTAACCTTTAAAGAAGATTTTTGCGAAAATATACCTGACTTAATAAATAAGGTGGCATGACGTCCACGATTAAGCCCTAAGGGATTAATAAAAAAACACAACTTTGCCAGCCGGCCGTTGTGCAGGTTTCTAATTTTAGTTTTATGTAAAAATATATTATACTTGAAATCTACAAAAAAAAAACATGATGTTTCGCAGTAGCTGTTTCGCGGTTTTGATGTATTATTATCATCGTCGTTATTATTATTATTATTGTGTTACGGGCTAAGAAGAACGAATTCCGTTTTCTCAGTAGCACTACTTAGCAAAATTACCTAAAAAGAAACGTAAAAAGTTCAAAAACGGTTTCCACGAAAATAACATTTTTTTTGTGATAATAATTGGACCGTCGCTATGAATAACGTTTGCGTTTAGTAGGTCAGTTGTATTTATTTGTGGACAGAGATTGATGGCAGTTTTTCTCACGGAGTCCTAATTCCAGAAAATATGTTCTCAAGTAGGACACCTATATAATATTTTGATGTAGCTTTTTTTGTTTTCTTAATAATCCCTACGTCACCGACAGACGTACAAGTCGTCCGCTTTCTGTTTTATTTTTATAAGAATTTTTAGAATCATGTTTTTTTTATTTTATTTTGAACTGTTCCAATTACAGCGCAGATACTTTGGTTTATTTTACACCTAAAATAAACCTTTTACAAGCCTGACAAAATTACACCAACTTAGAGCGATCAGATTTAAATTTTTCGAAGAGATTCGGACCTTTTTCAATCATCCTAAGTTCAATTGCATTGTGATTGGATCTTCGGTTAACAAATTCTACGATCTTGTAGTTTTTAATTAATACAAGACACGTGAAATGATATATTTTTTTTAATTAATTTTTATATTTTATTTTGAAAATAGATAATTTAGAATGCATTCCACGCAAGACACACATAGAGTATCTATTGTTTATTATAGTCTCAAAAATCTCTCCCACTTTTGCTGTGTATTTTTCTTTGAAAACCGCTTACGACATTTTTGCGTATTAAATCCGTTTATTTTATATATATATTAAAAAATAACATTAATAGACGTATAGGTGTGATTAATAGGCGTTCGCGGTATAGTAGACATACCTACGGATAAAAAACCGCACTGGTCCTGGCCATTATAGTATAATAATATTAAGTATACACGAACGTCGTATACCGTGTAGGATGAGCCTTGGATCATAATATATAGACGGGCTGTAGTGATGATGATGATAATAAAAATATTATCGTTTGTGTGTGTGTTTAGCTGGCAACCAGAAATGTCGAAAGAAAGAGACGTGGGAGCGACTCCAGAGGAGACACGCGGACAGGTGTGCGTCGACCAAGACCGCGTGGGCGCCCAAAGACCAGTGTACCAGTGTCGCCGACAAACCTTCCAGGCCTAACCGTTTGCCTTTGACCAGCGAAAGTCAATCGTCCGAGAAGATCCCGTACCAGCTGCCCAGCCCCAGTGCTATCTCGCTCAATGGCGGTGCCGGTGACTTGTCTACAGAATTGGCATGCAAAAGCTCCTCCGCTCCTCATTTGATCAAGTCCTGCGCCAAAACGCTGCCCAAGAACAGCAACGACCCGTCTTCTCCGGTAAGCACACACACCTAACCTAACCTAACCAAATCTAACCTAACCTACCAAACCTAACCAAACCTAACCAAACCTAACCAAACCTAACCAAACCTATCCTAACCTAACCGTGCAATAATAACACGGTATATGTATTAAAATATAGTAACAACTAAACAAAGTCAATTGTGTGTTGTTTGTTAAAGGATTGGAAGCAGCCCAGATGCCATTCGGACCGGTATCTAGCAGGTAAGTCGTTTTCCTTGGCTTAACGCCGCAGATTGAATAATACCAGATAGTGCTTTTTGATTGGTTCGAACTGAACGCAGTAGTGCCAAACTGTAGTGCCGAAAATATTATTGCACACACAATTTACAATGATAACGTCGACTGATAAGAAATACTGATAACAAGTAGTTTATCAACGATGGTTGATGGTGACAACATTACAGATGTCTGACAACATTTCTTTGACCACACTGTAAAAGCAGAACGGCTTTTTTTTTTCATTTTTTGGTCACACTAACCTGTAAAAGTTTGTTTAAATTTTTTTATTTTATTTTTTGTTAAGTCCACTATCTGGTTTTATTCAATCTGTGACAACACTATACGCACCGTTTTGGTATCAACCAAATGGGTGGCCATAGTAGTTTTAATGTGACGCAAACAGAAGGACTAAAGTCCGAGTTCTGCCTGGTCAGAAGGAAAAAAAATATCGTTCAACATGTCGTGGTGATAAGATATCAATGATAACAGTATCTTGAAAAAAAAAGAACATTTTAAGATAAATGGTGAAAACTTTTTTTACTTTATCATACAGAGTACCAACCGTTCAACAATGAAGATTTTTTTTTCTTTCGTGTGGTCATACTGGCTTTAGACCTTTTGTTTACTTCACTATGGTATATACAAGCTAGTGTATGTTAGTTCATATCATGGTTTTATTTAAATGTGTTGTATAGTGTTTAGAAACAAACACTCGCCTATGTTGAAATTTAATTGTAAACTTTAACAATACAAATAATGGTTCAGGAACAGCTCCTGCAGACTCGCTGCTCTCTATTGTGTCTCTGTGTTTTCTGCGTTGTGACATTGTTGGACAAGGCCCCGAAATAGTGATTGACTAAGTCGAAAAATGGCGAAAAAAGAACACAAAACAACGTTTGTCTAGGATTGGTCGGTCGGAGGCCAATTCCGTTTTTATTGCTGCGGTTCTAGGAGACTATCCGGCAAATGTGTCGGGTCGTAAACACGTTTAATAATATATATTATTGTAACCGCCAAAGAGTAATAAAATACAGTTGACCGCCGAGCATAATAAAGTATATGAGCACCGTGTGTTTATGTATTTTAAAGTCAAACCGCGTTAACCAAATCCCCGATGCTTCCGAACGCCAGTGTTGCGGTTTGTTGTACATTGGCGTTGGTTCTTTCTTTAATGGAAAACATACATAAAAATTCGGCGACCGTTTTTTTGTTTAGGTGTTTTCAAGTATTCAAGACATGTCAATGCGCGTTTGTGTGTAAAAATATTGTTTTAAGAACCCGCGTCGCGGTTTTTCCTATATTAATAGTCGGCTGCCATTTTGTCGCGACAGTTATTGTTTTTTCCATGATATTTATTATTGTTTTTTCTATGATTTATCAAACATTAATACATGATGGAAGCTGTTATCATCAGCTAACCTGACATTTCTTTAATTTATCAAATACACCAAGGTGTTATCATCGCTTAACCTGACATTTCAATATGTACCATGGAATACTTTTCCATGATACAGGTGGCATTGTTTACTTTCGATGAAATCGCCACACACAATGGCTGCTAACCTAACCAAACCTAACCAAACCTTACTAATCTAACCAAACCTAACCAAACCTAACCTGACCAGGGAGTGAAGTAAAATATTAAAACAAATGGTTGGTGGTGCTGAGACTGATTCAATATTATTTTCCACCAAAACGAGATCGTTTCGAATGTAGTGTAGTGATGTAATATATTTAAAAAAAAAACCGCGCACTAAACAATCGTATGAAAACAACTATTTAGCCATATGTATTGGCCGAGTGCAATATTTTGTTGGCATCGATAATTATTATTAAAAAAAGAACGCAAATTATTATTTTTAAGTGCTTGGCCAAGTCGTTGAACTGCCGACGGCGTTGACCGACAAACTCTTATTTTTTATTATTATCTCTATTAATTTATCACTGAAATCCTCCGTGGCTAATAATCGTTTAGTCGTTCTGTTTTCGTACACAAGAACGGCTATCTGTTGCTTGTCGTTTTGTTTGTTGTTGTGATACAAATCTTAGATGTATTTGAGTTGTGCAAATTATCATTCCAATAAAACATGATTGGAATAATAATTGTTTTTCAATCTATTCCAATGAAACGTCGTTCAATTAATTTGTCCACAATTTATAAAATCAAAACAAAATAATTTAAATTTAATTTATCATTTTTTTTACAATTCATTCGAATAAAAATTTGTTTTTTTTTTTACATTAATACTAATTTGTGCTATAAACATGGTGTTTTTTATTGCACGGTTTTTATTGCTCTCAGCTGTTTTACAATTTAACTTATTTTTTATTAAGAATACATTCTATTAAGAATAATTTTCTGATAATGTTGACTGGTCGATAACCAGTTCGGGATAATTACTTTGTAAGTTATTGGATGAAGTGCGATAAAGTTATTTTTTTATTTGTCTACCTTGAAAAAATATGCGCTAGAACAAAAGTTATTTAATTTGCCATAATAGGTATCTTTGTGAAACACAAAATGTTTTTCAAATATATTAAAATAATTACTTAAAAAAAAGCGTATTTTACAAACTGGTTAGTTATTCGAATAATTTTTCATAAGAAAAAACATATTAATCGAATAGTATTGTTATTTTTTTTAATTATTCGAACAACTTTTATTCGAATAGTGTTTTATCTAGATGTTTGTTTAGATAACAGAATAGAATTTATTCAATACTGTGTTATTTAGATATTGAACAAAGGGAGCAAAGTATATTAATATAATATGGTCTATGTAAAACGTAGGTTTAAAGGAAAATTATGTGTACAACCAGCGACGGTGTGTGCAAAGATATAAAATATATACCTAACTTTATTTAATTTCAAACGATGATTTTTTTTTTTTTTAAGTCACTCGATATTTAAGATATTTGAGATAGCATGTGCATTAGGTTATTTATATTGACATCATTTATTGATTATGGTTAGGTTAGGTTAGGTTGGTTTGGTTTGGTTAGGTTAGGTAGGTTAGGTTAGGTTAGATTAAGTTAGATTTTGTTACATCGCTATCTGTAGGGAAAATAACTGAACTGTCGATTTTCAAAACGGGTTTTATCAGAACAGTCCAGTAAACACGTATAAAAATGACAATAATATACATTTTCTATTATAATATTAATCGTTGCTAATTTTTTCATAAAAATAAAAAAATTCATGCAGCGAAGTGTTAGGACGGACTACAGAGGACTTACCACTGGCAGTGGCGGTGAATTTTTTTTTTCTTTCCATTCGGAATTTAAAAGCACAGCTTTTGCTGAATGGAACTTCGGCGTTGAGCTTTCGACAACGGCGTTTAACGCATGGGCAGCACCTGCTATACCTAACTGCTGTGCTGCCAATGTTGTCGCCACCGTGGGGCGGTGCACATAGTCGCCTTTAGGCCGCAGCGTCGACATGCAGAACCGCGCTGTTCGCGCCACAGCCGTCCGCGGTGGACCGCGACCGGATATGTTTTGGCGGTATAATATTTTGTGATTGTAAATGGAAAAACAAATGTCCGGTCTTGTGAAAGCCGAGGCCAAAATGGACACGGTCGCGGGTTTCAAGTTCTTCCGCAGTTTCAGCGTTAAATTCGATAAGCCCTGGACCTTGGGCCGGTCCGAGAAGCACTGGCGGAAAATGCGGGAAAAGAAAATCGCAGGTCGGTAACGGTTCTGCATAACAATATTAATATTAGAATGTAGTCATTCGTTTTTTATTTTGTCCATCACAATAGCTGTGTGTGTGCAGAATAGCTGCTGTTCTTAACCCTTAACTTGTTGGGGATGTATCGGCTTCATCCATGGACTATTCGTATGTTCTTTGGAGAAATCATTATGAGATTATTGATGACATTTTTTTCAGATTTTTTCAAAAACTTGAGCTATAATATCATTTTTTTTTTTCACTGATTTTCAACACATTTTATTTACAGTTTTAAACCTAAATATATATATATATATTTTAATTCGGCCGTTAGAATCAGATCTAAATATTTTATCGATATTAAAATAAAGTCAATCACTTGTATCCTAATGTTTTCTTAATTAATACAAATAAACATGTCTTTTTTTTTACTTTGAATGTGTTCGAGCTTTTTCACGGATTGAAATATAATGTGGATAATTTTCTTCTTTTATAAGTATATATTTTTGTACACACTTATTAAAAAAAAAAATGAAACTCATATGGATTTTTTTTTAAATTTGATCATTGGTAACAACACATCTTTGCAATTATTAATTTTTTGTTTATTTTATCAATTTAGATACGCATGTAGCGCGTGCTGAAACATATTATTATATTTGTTTTCGTTCTATTTGTATACCGCGTGCGTTTTAAATTTATTAATCTAAAAAAAATATATTATGAAAATACACATTGGGTTTTTTTTTTTAATGATGATTTTCTAGTTTTTTTTATATGTAACGTATGAGGAATCCGATCATTACCATAATATATTTAGAATATACCCAAATGTGTTTTTTTAACGCTACATTTGCTTGATTTTTTTATTTCACAGCCTAATGGTTTGCACAAATATTTTCCATGGCAAATGGAGCGCTCTTAATCTATAGTTTATGCATAGAACATTATTATTCACTATAAAGCTGACGATAACGCGTGTCGCCTACATGATTTTCTACAGTAATCACTAAGCTGATCTGTGCTAATGATGTCTCCATGCAAAAAGAGCCTCGAAATAGCTTGGACGATATTGTGCTTGTATTATATTTAATGAGATGAGCCCACTTACTACAATATCGTATGTAACACATTTTATGTTGCACAATATTACAAATTCAATGTGTTTAATAATAAACAAATCTAGAACGAGTAGTACGTTTACGTCCTCCTGTTATCACTCCTCTTCCTCTTATCACCGATAAGAGGGAGCCGTTTGTTATCACAACTTCTTATCACTAAGATGACGCGTTATTTACACCGATAAGCTTCTC